TCTGTACGATCATGTCCACGTGGATATGGGGCCAACTTTGACTTGACCATCAGTATTAAATGTCTATTTGATTTAAGTTTTTGCAATCCTAGCATTACAGCCATCTTAATGTTAAGAATGAGAATAAAGCAACGAACTTATTCAATTATAATGATAATAATAATATTGCTACTAATAATGGTAAAAACAGAAAGATGATAGATATTGGTAATAATGATAATGATGATAATGTTAATAATAGTAACAATGATAATAATAATAATGATAATAATGATAATTATGACAATAATAATGATAATAATTAAGACATAATGATAAAAATTAAGACTGATAAGGATAATAATTAAGACATAATGATAAAAATTAAGACTGATAATGATAATAATTAAGACTGATAATGATCATAATTATGACAATAATAATGATGCTAACAGAAATAATAATAATGATACCATTAGTAATGATGATAGTAGTAACAGTAATACTAATAACAGTAATGATGATAATAATATTAATCATAATAATAACGTCAAGTCAGCCCACACTCTCATCTTACGAGCTGCTATTGGACAAGCTTTAAATCGATAAAACCCGTGTTCGTAGGGGGTTGATAGAACTCTTCAGTTTCTTTAAGCAAATCTATCTAGTGTAGATTCACGAGTAACTCTCCAAGGGCAGCATGAGCTCTTTAGTCCTGATTGACCATCATCCTAGACTTGGTACACCGAATTTTGCTACCCCTAGGCGCCAAGGATAAAACGCGCTTCGATTTCCGTAATGTCTCAATCTGATAATTCATTTTGCCTCGACCGTCGCGCGCGTTGACAAGTGACGTGTCTTCTCAGGGAGGAACCAGTCTGTGGTCAAAAAAATCTGATTCTGGAAGAGACTTTTCAAATGAGGCGCCAGGTGAACTAAACCGGATTAATTGCAATCTTGAACCGGGAAATCCGACACTCATACAACCACCAAACAAATACGTCTCAAATGGACTCGCGAACTCAAATCACAGAAGCGTTTTACTCAGCTTTACAGTATGATAGAAATGATAAGTCTAAATTGACTCAATGTTGTGATGTATTTTAAATGTATAATATATTTTAAATATAACATTTTTCTGATGTTCATGTATAATATATATAAATCCATTTGTGTGTTGCCGTTGTAGTTCTAAGTTTTATGGAAAAAGAGTGGAATTGGTGAAACTGATGTGATCACAATATATACATGTTTAGAAGCAAGCATATGCTCTTGGACCTTCTGCCTTAGAGGCAAATCTAGTGTTACTTAACATAAATATATAGTATTGAGCAAGATCGATGATAAATAAGGGCGTTAATTGAGGGGGGGGGGAGTTGCTATACCAGTCTATTGTATGTGTCTGTAATCAAATTCAATTAGCTCTAAAACAAACACCGGCCTGGGTTTCCAAAGCCATAACCTTTTTACGACCTTTTTACTTAACGACCCTGGCTATGGGTATAAAGTAAGGGACAGTATCTTCAATAACCACTTTTACATGGATAACCTCAAGTCTTCAAAAATGATGAAGAACTTGAAGGTATACTTAAAATACTAAAATCCTTCACTGATGATATTGACATGGAATTCGGACTTGTCAAATGTGTCAAACTCACTATAAAGAGAGATACAACAACAAAATCAATTTAGACCTTGCCACACAAATATAAGAACTTGATCAAAGGGAAACATATAAGTATATGGATGCCATTGAAGGATTAGGCATTAACCATAGCCAAATGAAGGAAAAAGTCAAGAAAGAATACTACAGACGAGTAAGATTTGATCATAAGTATAAACTTAAGTCGTAAAATCGCTTCACCGCCATTAAGTCTTGAATGTCAGTTGTCATGTGGTCTTGTCCAGTTAGAGATGTCACTTAAGACAGCTATTATTGGCTTTTATGATTGGCAACGATTGGCTGATGCATATGTCAAACATGAAAATAGCAAGAAATTATACATCATTCACTAGGAATCCCTTAAATCTAAGTCTGAACTTGATCTAAATATAAATGAAGAGTTATGCCCTGTAATACCATCAACACAAGCAGATAAAGCAAATTAAAGCAAAATGGCAAGAGAAAGCACTGCAAGGAAAATTTCCCTCCCGTGTAACCAAAGCTGATGCAAACCAAGTTCATACCTATCAATGGCTATGCAGTACCAGTCTCAAAACTGAAACGAAGGATTCATTTTGCTGCCCAGGACCAAAGTCTTCCAACGAAAAACTATCAAACCGAAATCGCAAAGATCTTAACTGACTCCAGCTACCGTTTTTGTGATGCCTCTAAGGAAACCCTTAACCATCTTGTGTCAGGCTGTCTCATCTTGGCACCAAATCAGTACAAGAACAGAAAGGATAGAGTTGGGCAGTATATTCACTAGCAATTGTGCCAGCAGTACGGCACTGATCTCCATGAAAATGGTACGAATACAACCCAGAGGCAGTCAGTAGCAAATGAAGCATTACTAATCTTTAGGACTATTTAAGCAAATCGCCTAGGCATCTTTCTTAAGGATAAGGAATCTAATACATGCTTTTTGAGTGACATGGTGATCCAAGCTGATACAAACGTCTCTTTGAAAACCACTGAAAAACTTTCAAAATATAAAGATCTTGAAAGTGAAATTACAAGAATGTGAAAGAATAAACACATGTACCATCCCTGTTGTAGTTGGGGCACTCGGTGTAAGAAGCAAAGGTGCCGAAGATATATCTGCATTTCTTTTGAGAGTCTTAAAGAAATGCAGACAGTTATTAAAACCAGCTATGCCCATATTCTCAGAAGAATTCTGTCGATGAAACCCTGCAAGAACTTCCAATTTTAACTTTAGATAATATAACTACGACATTTAGCTTCGTACATACTTTAATTTTTTTTACCTGCCCATCCCTGAATAGAACAAATCTTTACAAAATTGTCTGAAGCTGAAATAATGAAATCATGACTTGCCATTTCTTGCCTTATGCTATGGATTTAGACATGGTTAGTTGTGTGCGTACCAGCAGATAGGCAATTGAATAGTAATAATGATGATAATACTAATAACAATAATAAGGATGGTATTAACAACAGTGATAATGACACTACTAATAATAATGATGATGATGATAATAATAATAAGAAGAAGTATAATGATATTAATAATAATAGCAAGTATAATGATAAGGATAATAATGTTAACAATAATGATGATAATAATGATGTTAACAATAATGATAATAATAATGATGTTAACAATAATGATAATAATAATGGTAATGATACTTATTGTTATGATAACAGTAACAATCATTATTACTGGTATTGATTTTTTTTCTTTATCATTATATCTATTATACCATTATCGTTATTGTTATTATTACTTTTATTATTATTATCGTTATTATTACCATTACCTTTATCATCATTATTGCCATTACTCTTATTATTAGTAGTAGTAGTGGTAGTGTCATTATTGTTATTTGTATCCTTATGATAATGATATTTATTATTATTACTATTATTATTAGGTTCATGATGATGAAAACAGCAACAGTGATTGTGATAGTGATAAGATAATGATAATAATAGTAATTATTATTATCATTGATAATGATGATAAAAAAGTAATGATAATGTAATAATATATTAATAATGATGATAAAAAAGTAATAATAATGATAACGATAATAGTAATGATAATAATAATAATATTTTTGGACTAATAATAGTAATAATAATAATGGTGATAATGATAATAAGAACAATAATAATAATAACTATAATGATAATGGTGATAATAGTATCGATAGCAATAGGATAATAATGATAATGATAATAATAATAATAATAATAACACTAGTAATGATAATAAATAAGAAAAAGAACACGAGAGTGAGAGAGAGAGAGAGAGAGAGAGAGAGAGAGAGAGAGAGAGAGAGAGAGAGAGAGAGAGAGAGAGAGAGAGAGAGAGAGAGAGAGAGAGAGAGAGAAAGAGATAGAGAGAGAGAAAGAGAGAGAGAGAGAGAATGTGTGTGTCATCGGGACTATCACCGCTGCACGTACGGTAAAGCCTACTCGTATTGGCGTGACGTCAATATGGCATTATCATCGATAAGAATGACTACAGTGACGACATCAAGAACTGCCTTTTGTTCTGCAACAAATTAAATTTTTATGATTGTCTTGTCTTGCCATTATTGTTATTATCATTAGAACAGCATAATTCATGCTGGTTCATTAGCATTCTTTCATTCTTTCTTATTAATGCCATTGTTACCAACAGTTATTTTTTGTAATCACTCTTGCGATTATATCAATAAATGCACTACACAGAGAAGTAAAAAAAATCGCGGTTCATCTCAAAGCTACGTGGCATGTTTAAGACATGAATTTATTGAGAGGTGATGCTGTAAAATGCCATTAGAATTATCCTGACATAACATAATACATGATATTTAATTGTTTTATAGTTCATTATTCTTTCATTGTAATATCATTAATTCGTTACGTGGTTCTCTGTGATTTTTCCTGATTCATCATCTGGTGCGAGAATGATGAATACCTTTAATTATATGGCGACGACTTTACAGGACATGACAACAAACAAGGAAACTCCAATACTAAATATATTCATGACAAAAATTCTCCATCCTGCAACTACGAATAGTCTTTCAACAACCTTGACCTGAAAAGTGTGATTGCGTTTACCACTTACTATGTCCACGTCGGAGGAAACGCACAGGTGAATTAGCTTAGAATTATCTTTAAAGTTTTATTTATCTGTTGGTTGCATTTCATTGCTGTAAAAGGCAAATGTTGGCTTTTTTCTCGTAATGTTCTCCACCATATGCTGCATACTACAAACTGGTTTATTTGACAATAAAATAAAAGGAAGAACTACAAGTTGGATCCCGCAACGCGGATGATATTGCCAGTGAGGTCGTTTGAGGCTCTAATGGTTTTTGTTTGTTTATTATTTATATGTATCTTATATTTTATTTATTTTTTTTAGTTGTCTTTTGTCTGAGTTCCGACAGGCGAGGAGACCTTGGCGATCGCGAAGCTAGAAGTGGATTTCCGGGTATCTTAAAAGCATTTGCCAGTGGATTTTCCGGTGATACAGGATTTTATCTGATCTATTACCGAGTCATTCTAACCATATATGTAATCGACAGTATATGTAAAACGTAACATGAAGGGATAATCTTTTCTTCTGTGAAGTTGGTATCATCAGTAGTGACTAATCAAGGACCATTTTTGAAGGCGTTATTTCCTATATAAGTGTTAGTGATAAGATAATTGGCTCGAGTATATAACATCAGAGGTTAGCATCACGGCTTTTATTCTTCTTAAGAAAAGGTAATATGTTTTTTTAGCATAAAGGAACACTTTATATTATAGGATCAGTTGGTTATTCTTACTGACATGCAATTCAATTGACAAATCATTACCTATGTATTTAAATTCAATCAGGCTTTATTTTAATTTTACTGATTGTTATATTTTCCTCATTTCAGTATGGAGAGACATTTCATAGTATATGCTGTTATACTTTGAATACTATCATAACTTGAACATACTCATTACTGGGGTTAATCTCTTCTTTTTTTCTCATACATATTTCCATAATTGCAGATAAACATGAAGGAACAGAGGAAAGTGACAACGGTTATTGTGGGTGCAGGTAAAGAGTTTGAATTCAATTTTCACTTTTATCAATTCACTATTATTATCTTTGATATTTTTTTTTCTTTTTTTATCATAATTGTTATTGATGTTATTGTTATTGATATTGTTATTATTATTATTATTATTATTATTATTATTATTATTATAATAATTATGAGGATGATGATGGTGGTGAGTATTGTTAGAATGATTATTGTGATTATTACTTTTTTGAATTGTAGTATATGTGTTGTTTTTATTATTATGATTATTTTTATAATCACTTTTATTCATTATAATTGTTATTATTATTGTTGTTATTATTATATTATTATTATTTCATTATTATTATTATTGTTGTTATTATTATATTATTATTATTTCATTATTATTATTATTGTTATTATCATTTGTATTATAGTTATCATATTTTAAATATTTTACAGTAATATAATATTTTCATTAAAAATGTATGTTACTTTCAATAATTTAACCAAAGGGAATAGTTTAAGGTTTAATAGATAAAAAAATGTTCTCAATTAATCAGTTTCAGCCATGTAAACTTGGTATATATGTTTTTTTGATTGTAATAAACTTAAATTCAGGAAGGTTACAAAAGATAAAAGATAT